TTATCAAGGGTTCAACCTAACTGTATTGTTCGAGTAGCAACTAAATGTAGTTCATGAAAGGAAGAACCAAGGAATAATAAATAGAAAATCAGCCATCCATCATTTTATTGAAAAGCAACTTTCATATTTATATGGAGATTTATGTGCAGAATAAAATGAATATGTGCCATCATATGTGAAATTCGGCTCACCTGTATGCCTGTGTTCTAGTCAATAGCTCTTCATTTGTAAAGGCTGAAGGTGGACTCAGAGTCTCCAAAAGGAGCCTCCATGTGCAAAGGGTTAATGCTAATTGGGACTGACCAGTCCTTTTCACAAATGGACATCAATAAAAGCAAAGCCCAACACATCAATATTAACAAAATATTAATATATAGGGATAACATACCTTTTGGTAAACTACATTCCTTTATATTCATTGGTAGACTTCACATCTTTTCTATTACACATGGCAAAATTTTAATTACAGCCTGGCTACATGCTTCCCATAGTATCTTTGATGCCTTCAACTGGTGCATGCTCAGGAAATATAAATTTCTTTTAACCCTAGCCTTAAAAAAAATGATTAAGTGTTGTAAATATGTTGTAAAACTATGTTCACTAAGTAAGGGTGACTTTAAGGATTGGTATGTAATAGTTTTTCCTAAAAGTAGTACCTAAGTTCTGATGAATCATAATTATTATACATGCTACACAGATGACCATTTTTCATTTTGATAATGATGTGCTTGTTCTGTTGTAAATAGAAAGATGAAATTTAAAACATCAAACCTTGATTTCCCAGGTGCTATTAAGATAAAAAATATACACACACATTAAATACAAATAATACAGAAATACTGCAAAAATCTTGAAATTGGCATGTGAATGATGAAAGTTTGGGAAATGGGTATATGTCCTCAAAACAAAGGGCCTGAAATAAAAGTGATGATATTGGAAAAACATGTTTTTAAAAATTGCATTCCTATTAAAAAAAAGAAAGATGATTCCAGGAATATCAATTAATACAATTAATTTTTACTTACTATTTTGTATGCAATGCAGCTTCTAGCACAACTTTTTACCTGTGTGCTACCAAATCAATTCACCCAGAATGGGATACAAAACCCAAAGGGGTCAATGGTGTAAGTGGAAAGAATTTTGACCATATGCTCTTTCCAACAAACAACTAGATGAGCGTCCTTATAAGGACTCTTAAATGCCAAGGGTCCACCCACCAGCTATAGTATAACACACAGGTATCAGTTAAAAAACAAAACAAAACAAAAACAAAAAACCTTCATCTGGTAGGCTCTGCCTCTTAAAACCCCAAGTAACTGCCTGAGAGGAACACCCCAAGTACTCTGCCACAAAAAGAGCCTGTCACAAGTGGCCCAAAGCCAAAATATGGTTTAACTATCTGTCTTTTTTCACACCTATAAGCTTAATATTTTGGGCAGAAGAGAGAGGTGAAAATTCCTCAAGACAGATAAATCTCTCGGCCTGTCAGAGAGATCCAAGAGGACTGTGTGACAGAAAGTACTGAGTGAGGGCCGGGTGCCCAGGATGGGGTTCCACAGGCAGGCAGGGACAGGGTTTTGTGGGGCCCTGAAGTCTCCTGTAATGTGTTTAGATTTTAATCTAAGTGCAATAGGGAGTCACAGAGGAGTTTTCAGCAGGAGAATGAGATGCTCCTATTCTCATATATAAAGCTATTTCTAGATACTTGGAGGAGAATTAATGAGGGAGGGGGGAGACCAGTGGGGCAGAGGAAAGATTGGTCAGAGCCTGTTAAATTAGTTGGATAGGAAGTGATAGTGGCCTGGGCTAGGGTGGCCACCAGGGAAATGGAGAGACGTGGATGGCAAGTAGCAGAGGACGGGAATGAAGGCTGATTTCTAGACTTCTGGTGGGTTTTATGGAGATGATAAAGAGTTCGAAGAAACACACGTGTGGCTGCACGGGAATCAGAACTTCCATTTGGGCTGTGTTGCATTTAGGACACGATGAGACGCACAAATGGAGATGTCAGGTAGGCGGGAAGTTGGATGTAAAAGTCTGGAGCTCAGTTGAGAGGTCTGAGCTGAAGACCTCAGTCTGGGACTCCTCAGCACAGACAGTAGTTCAGACCATGAGACTGAATGAGATCACCTCGGGTGAGAGTATACAGAAAAGAAAAGAGGGTCCGGGGCAAAGCAACATAAATAGAAAAGATAGAGGAGGAAGAGCCGGCAAAGACAGAAGGCAGGACCAGGGAGGCCTGGTGGAAACCAAGAGAGCATGGCATCATTCAAGCCACAAGGGTTTCAACAGGAGGACACGCTGACAAGTGCCAAATGCCACTGGCAGGAGGAGTAAGATGAGGGGGAAACGTTGCTGGCAGAGTCTATGGACCCTGGACAAGGGCAGTTTCAGCAGAATGGCAAGGGGCAGAGCCAGACTGGAGAACGTCAAAGAATAAAAAGATGAGGAAGTGAACACAGAGTGGATACGTAGTTCTTTCTAAAAGTCTGTTTATGCGATGGAGCTGAGAGGGGAAGACGTGCAGTCAAGAGAGGTTTTTGTGGCGTGCTTTTGTGTTTTAGGATAAATTGGCTGGATGGATTAGGGGATGTTAGGGCTGCCCTCCTTTCCCCCAGCTTCCCAGCGCATTCATTTCCGCTTCTTGGATCTGGTCCACACTCACAAGCACCCAGTTCACCTACAAGCAGACAATGCTTCCAAGGGAAAAGCACAAGACCTCCCCTCTTCAAAGTGTCTTTTCAGATAGATGATTTGGTTAATTGGGAGGAATTTCAATTCAGTTTATTTGACAAATTATATTCATATATATGTTGAAAACTAGTTTACTTATCGTCAGAAACTTGTCTCAGCAAAATAAAGTGTCTTCCCACCATATTTCAGGTTAGAAATAGACCAAGGAGTTAAGAAATGATGAATAAAGTCTTTGTTTCAGTCAAAGGCCCTGTTTTAGTCTGTTGGGACAAATGTAACAGAATACTACAACCTGGGCCACTCAACATTCTGGAGGCGAGGAAGTCTGAGATCCAGGTGTCAGCAAGACTGATTGCTCCTAAAGTTTGTGAGACGATCTCCCCACACTCCCTCCTAGCTTCTGGTGCTTTGCTGGCAATCTTTGGTGTTCCTTGCCTTGTAGATGCTTCTTCATCAGATCTCTGCCCTCATGCTCACAAAACGCCCTCCCTATGTGTGTGTCTGTGTTCAGATTTCCCCTTTTCGTAAGGATGCTAGCCAGTTTGTATTATGGCCCATCAGCATGACCGCACTGTAACTTGTTTACCTTTAAAAAGACGTTATTTCCAAACAAGGTCTCAATCCCAGGTACGGGGGCTTAGAACTTCAATTAATCTTTGCAATGCAATGATTGCAACACAATGCAAACCATAAATGTATTAATCAAAAATAATCCCTTTTTCCCTTGATGAAAGAGAAAAAAAAATTGCTTTTTGTGAGAGAGGGAGCTTTAGATTCATGGTGTTTGCCCTGATTTTGATCCTGCAGTCCTTATGCAGGCAGACTTGTGTGTGTTCAAGACCTCCAGGATGTACACGATGGGGAGAAAAAACCTCATGGGTATTTTAGTTTATTTTTGTGGCTTGAAATTCAGAAGAACTAATCATAATCTTCATTCGCAAATGATGATTTCTAGTAATGGCTTTCTTAAAGTATACACAGTTTTTAAATATATAGGTATTTTCTTTTCATAATATAAGTAGTTCTATGGAGTTTGGAGTTGAATTGCTCAGAGAGCTAGGTATTTTTCAGAGATGAACCTTTTTCTCGTGCTAAAATCCTGGTAAGTTATTCTTTATTAGGTTAGAGAAGCCATTTTTAATTCAATCAAATACTTCGATAATTTCTTTACACAAAAAAAAGGTGAAGTCCCAAACAAGAGCCACAATGCTCTGAAGCAAGAAACAGAAGGAAAACTGGAGCTGAAGAGAGGGAGAAGGGAGAAGCCAAGCAGCTGGATGTGAACATAGGCTCTGTGCCAAGAACTGCTCGTGTGAGGAACTCCCAGAAGCAAGAATCACAGAGGGACTTCTGAGGTCTAATATTTATTGTTGATCGTTCTCTAGGCTGCATGTTACCTCCTTTCATAACCTCAGACCTTCAGTAAAGGTTCACATGTACAAGCTTGGGTCAGTGGAACTTTGGGGGAGCATGGGAAAGGGGGTGCCCAGCATGAGACAACAAGAGTGCAGAAAAGTGACTGCAGCAAGGAAGACAGGAGGCAGATTGGGGGTTAGGGGTCTGATAGAAATAAATGATTAGCCAGACATGACCAAACACTGCATAAACTTCACCAAAAATTTTGGAACATGTTGGCTGGGATGTGACTCCCTCCACTCTTTGGATAGGATCCATACCAATTGTACTTAAATCTGAAAGCAAGTACAGGACTCTGTCGACATCTTGGCAGCTGACACTGACTTATCTAAGTGTAACTGTGTCCAGTTTCTGGCACCTAATAGGACCTGAATACATCTTAGTTGTTGTTGTTGTTGTTTTAATTTACAATCCTACAGAAATACAAAATGGGAAAAACCTCACTTACAAGTGGTTTGCATGAAAAAGATTAAGGGGTTCTAGTTGGTGAAAAGATCAATATTAGTCAACAATGTTCCCCAAGAAAATAATGAAATCTTGAGCTGCATTAATAGAAGGAGAGTTTCCAGAAGCAGGGAAATGTTATCTTCATTGAATCTTCCTGGGTGTAATCATATTTTTGTTTAGTTCTGAACACTTTAGAAAGACATTGACAAAACAAAATAAATACAGACGATGGCAAAGAGAAGGGTGATGAACCTGGGAGCTGTGTCAAATATGAAACAAATAAAAATACTTTCTTATATTAACCTTAAAAAAAGAAGTCTTAGAAGATACATAACATCTGTTCAAATACTTGTAGAGTTATCGTATAGAAGAATGTGGTAGGCAGAATAATTGCCCCCCAAAGAAGTCTACATCCTAATCCCTGACACCTGTAGATATGTTACCCTACATGGCCAAAGGGACTTCGCAGATGTGACCAAAGATCTTGAAACAGGGAGATGATCCTGGATTATCCAGGTGAGTCCAATGTAATCCCTAGAGTTCTTAAAAGATAGAAAAGAGAGACATGAGATCAGAGTTGGAGAGGGCAAACTGACTATACAAGCAGAGGCTGGAGTGATGGGGGCCACAAGCTAAGGGAGGTGGGCCACCTTTAGAAGCTGGAAAAAAGAAGGAAATGGTTGCTGTCCTGGAGGCTCCAGAGGAAACATAGCTCTGCCAGCGCATTCGAGACTTCCGACCTTCAGAAATATAAAATAGTGAACCTGTGGTGTTTTACCACTACATATGTGGACTTTTTTTTTACAGCAGCAATAGGAAACTAGTACAAAGAGTTAAACAGTCTAAATAGTGCTGAATAACAGAAAGAGCATAAGTAGGTGTGGGTGGGTTAGGGGATAAAATTTTGGTTCAGTGCAAAATCCCGGTCTACCAGCATGAGAGGTGGGACAGACTGACCTGGGTGGAGCCTTGCACATGGAACTCAATTATCAACATTAAATGTCCATGAGGCAGGGCAAACCTGGAGCCAAAAGGACATGCCTGCTTCAGCCAGATATAAGAGTGAGACAGTAAGAGAGAAAAAACAGTGAATGAACAATATTAACACACTTTGGGAAGACAGAAAGTAAACAGAGGAGTGGCCATTGGTATATCGGCTGATTCATGTCGACTGCGAGGTATTGGGAAGCTGTTTACAGACTGGATGAATAAATCTTTGTATTTGGGAAAAAAAAACTCTCAGTAGATATAAAGGCAACTAAACAAACTAAACCAAAGACATTTTTATTTAAGGAAATATTAATTCCAGAGGAAAATATTGCTCACGACAGGATACATAATCATAGTATATGACTACTTCACTTAGGTGAACATTATCGACAAAGTAATAATAGCGACAACACCAAATAGTGATTTAACCAAAACTGTGATAAATTTTGGAAAGGGAAGTGTAAGGTAGTTGAAAACAGTTAAGTCCTCAACAACTAGAAGTGTAAGTCACTAAGTGATGTCTAACCGGATAAACCAAGAAACCATTACTTTTGAGAAATACTGAGAGAATACTAGAAGAAATAACTGGAAGAGTTGAAAATGGTTGCCTCTGGGAAGGAAAACTGGGGTTATTTTTCATGTATTTCTTTCTCTCCAGAGTTGCAAAGTAGAAAAGGGGGACATATTTCCATTCTGGGGTAATTTGGAGGACAAAACTACCAATCTGAGCCTACTCCTTCCTGCAGTTTACTAAGAAATGGGTTGTTTTCTTAAACCTAAGAAACAACCAGAATATACAGAAAGCTGGCAGCTAAAGCAGGAGAAATAGAAAAGAACACAAGAGCATCATCAGAACAGTATGCATACAAACCCGTCCACGCAGCCATGCAGAGAAGAGAGAGGGAATTGACTCTCTTGGCTGTCACTGCTGTCAGACAAAAGGGCAAGTATTTTACATGATTATTCCGTATAATTATCATGACAGCTCCCAAGAGATTGAAGTTATTATGTCCATTTGATGGCCAAGGAAGCTAAGGTTAGAGACTTGCCCCGGGTCACACAGCGGGGAAGGTACAGAGTTCAGACACAAATGCTGTTGTATATGATGTCGGAGCCTGTGCCCCCCCACCCCCACTACCTCACTTACTGTACCTGCAGTAGAACATGGTAAGTGCCCTACTGGGAGAACTGAAGGGCCACATTCAAATAAAATAGAGAGCAGTATTACCAAGTAATACGAGTATGACCCCGCCCAGGAGCATCAGAGCTGGGGCATGGTTGTAAAGAAACAGATCCAAGTCCTTGGGGTGAAACTGGCACAGGCCTGGGCAGTCAGAGCTTACCAGAACCAGACAGGGTGTCCCTACTGCCTGAGAAATCAGTGCAAAAAACGAGCTGGAGTAAAGATGACAGTCCTAGCTGGACCCACAAATGTCAGGGACAGTAAATCAGAACTCAAAGCCAGAATCGGAGCTCCCAGTCCTAAGACCTCTGACGTTCCCAGAGAGAGAAACATGAGTTTCCCAAAAGTTACCTACCCTCAGAAAGCTGGGAATTGGCTTGCTGGAATCTTCTCTTAAACAAGAGGCATGAGAGACCTAGGGAAGCAAAGGACCTCAGAGCGCACATACAGCAAGTGTTAGCTCTCCATCCAAGGAAGCCTGTCCATTTCGTCGCTACAGATTTCCCTCCAAGATGGAAGCATCCATCTGCCTTTCTCTCAGCCACTAAGAAAACGGCCCATGTCTGTAGTCTTCCCAGTGACGTCTATAGCAATCATTGGTCTGTCTCCCACCGAAACTGTCAGAGGTCCGAGCAGTCCCACCAGGAGAAGGTGAGGAGGGTCCTATATGACATTTTTAAAAAGGTGAGGGAAAGGGAGCACGGAACTGAGACGATCACAAAGGGGAAGAGAGGGAAGGGTAAAGACAGAAGAAAGATGGCACAGCTGAATACAGAGGAATAGAAGCAGCAGGAAGAAATTCATCAATAGGCCGGCTGTGGAGGAGAATTTTCCATTCATGAGTCTTTTGATTCTCAGCTTCTTTATTCTGTCATAAAATTTCCTTTGTTTCCTTTTTATCTTGTATTGAGGTTACGTAAGAATTCCTTATTTTGCACTAAAGTGACATTAAAAATCCCCTGTGATAAGTCTACTAAAGATTTATACCAATACAACTTTATTACTTCATGATAAATCACTTTTGTCACAAGATTAAGGTTGGGTGTTGCTCTTTCTCAAATGTTCTGTGTTTCATATGTTGTAGAGTCTTACTAAACTGATTTTTGAAAGATAATAGACTCCTAGAGGTGGAGATATCTGGGGTTAACATCTAGCCTTGATCATTGACCATTTTCTTTGTAACTCAACTTTGGAAGAAAATGCATTGTTGCCCAAACCAAGAGATTTGAGTACCTCTTCTAATTTTAAAACTGTTCCTATAGGCAAAGTGCTATAAAATAAAAAGGATCTTCAAGAAAGAAAAGAGAACTAAATTTTCACAGTTTCCATGTTATATCTATATCAGTCTTTGTAATGCATTTGAGATAAAGGAATCTTTTTGTTATCAAACCACGCCTTTTCTGGAACATAGTTGATATAGAGAGATGGAAAACTCCCTTGTAAATTCAGGGCAGGGATAGACATTTAAAACAAAAGCATATCTCTATATTGCTTTCCATTTTGGTTAAATCATCCATTTCTTATCTTAAGTCCCTAATTTAGATCTCTAAGAATGGTTGCTATTCTATTTTAGTTTTCTAAAAGTAGGAGGTTCAAATTTTAGTCTAGACTCTGAACTTCTCAAGGTCAGGAACCACGCTCCACTAGTCTTTATATTTCCCAGTTTTGGCAAGGCACCTGGAACCAAGCAGCCTTTCAATATGTGCTGCTGAAATAAACTGAACTAACATATATCAGAAAAGAGCAGTAAAATACCAGAAACTGAAAGGTAATCATTTTGCCCATCTGGCTTTTTTTCAAAAAACACAATGAAGAAAATGTTTAGTATTGACAAGCACACCCATCGAAGTGAATTTACTGCAGCTAAAGAAGATAAACAAGTGTAACTTCTTCAGCCTTTCAAACCTTGTTCCGGTGAAGGAATTTTTTAATTAAAGAAAATGTTTTTTTTTAAGTCAATTACAGAAAGCCAAAATAACAAGCTCATTTAATCTCTTGAGCAAATAAGTTTAGGATTAATAATACTGTAAAGTAAAATTTAAAAGGAAATTTCAAATTTAAAAACTAAGAACAGATTAAATACTCAATCTAGTGACTAAAATAAGTTACTCCAATTAATAAACAATTGAATGGAAACAGCAGATGACTAAAAGGTAACAAAAGGAAGCTTATCCTGTTAGAATCGCTTAATTAACAATACCTCTTTGCCTCCTTTCTGTCATACCAGGCTATACTGTCAGATATTAGATATTATATTCCTGACCCATTAAAAACTGAGCCAAAATATCTTTAGTTTCAAAAGACATCTCTGCAAATGTAATTTAAATGACTTTACCATTTTAACTAGACATTGGTTATAAATTTGGAAACTGCCACCTAGTTTAGTTTATCCACGTAAGATTTACTATTTTGACATTTCAAATTACTGAAGTATAATAATCTTTGTTAAACTGGAGATTACACGGGCAGTAGAAAGACCACCCATGGCAGCATTGGGAATTGATGCCTTTCTGATCTGCTTTGCATGTGTTTGATGAAGGATGCAATTCAGCTGTTGTCCTGATTTCATTCTTGGGTAACTTCCCCTTGGGCAGCATAGTGACTGCTTTCCACTGGCTATTCATGTGAAATATTGATTGACACCCAGAACAAGTTATTAGATCTTTTTTAAATGCATGGCTTTTCTGTGGAAAAAAATAACTTTTAGAGAATATGAGTAATGTGTTTTATAAAGATAATATCTCTGCTTCACAGAGAACAAAATAAACTTCCTACTGAAGACATCCATACAAAAACTCAGGGTTGCAAGCTAGGCTTCTGTATTAGGACTAACTTCTTTTTGATAATTACATGTAATAAGCATTCTTTGTAATAGTCACCAAACTCAGCATAAGATAACGACATAGTCTCCCTTTTTTTTTTCTATTTGTCTCTATATTTTGGAACATGTTATAAACGCTTCTGTAATTGTTCTTGTGCCAAAGAATCTACATTTTCTCCCAATATCTTCTTCTCTTCTTGATGGAAAAACCAAATTTCACAGCCTTCCTTGTTGCTAGATATATTTAGGTAGATACATTTTCATTCAGTGAGTAAGTATCATACAACATTTTGGGGGACTTTCCTTAAATGGTAGGTAATCCACACTCTTTTTTATTGCCCCTTCCTCCTTCCTGCTAGCTAGAATGTAGACATGATGGGTGGAGCTGGAGCAGCCATCTTGAGCCACCAGGTGACCTTGGTAATGGTGCTATCTATGAAAAAGCAATCACATAGAAGGTACTGGATCCCTGAGGACATTGTGAGACAGACTTACCATATCAACATAAAACTATTTATCTATAAAACCTTTTTTCTATTCAAGAAATC